TTATGGAAGCCAAAGAAAACATAGAGAACTGTTCATTGTCAGCTCTTTCCAGCTGGGAGGTAATGTGGACCTGAGGGAGTGGGGAGGGAGGAGAATAATGAGGACCTAATGCCAGGGATTTAAGTGGAGAGAAAATGTTTTGAGAATGATGAGGGCAATGAATGTACAAGTGCGCTTTACACAATCGATGTGTGTATGGATTGTGATAAGAGTTGTATGAGACCCTAATAAAATGATTAAAATAATAATAATAACATAATTCAGGACACAGAGGAAAATTTTACTAGATTACTTAAAACTATCCATTTGAATTCTAATTTTTACTGTTCCCTGGAAACAGGAAGGTGCATAGATACAAAGAGGAGTGCGTGGGATAAGGCATGCCTCCACCACCCATTAATCAGTTGACTGACTGTGGTACCTGGGATGTGGCTGTGCTGCTAGAAACTAAGCCACTGGATCTCAAATAACAGTAAGATCACTCACACTGTACATGTTTTAATGTAGCCTCCGGTCTACGATAGACTAGGAGACAAGGCCTGGCAATCTGATTCTTTAAAGTAGCCCACGTTAGTTCTATGCCTTCTAACAGAGTATAGAGTTGGAAGATGTCCCCCCAGGTAGGAAGGCACTGAGAAAACACCATGGTCACAGCAGTGGACACAAGCACATCAGAAATTGTAGTGGTGACACAGAAGTGAGCAACTTTCCCTTTTGCTTTACACGGGGACGCCATTTGTTGAACCAACTCAACTGACAACCAATGACAAGGACAAACCTTCCCTAGTAATGACTACTGGCTCTTATTTTTGTTTTGTTTTTACTAGCAATTCTCATAATTTCCCCCACTATTTCTCCTGCTATATAGCCTTTTATTATCACTTGTTCACTAGTAATTACTTCCAACAACTTACAGGATATAAACATTTTGAATATACATACTGACAATACACACATACACACACCAAAAGCATTGCGACTAGGGTTCAGTTCATATTGCAACCAACGTCCTATGGAGGATTTGTAACCCCTGGAAAGAGACCCAGCACACTGCCTCCATTCATGTACTTCCCCATTCCTGGGAATTCACCCATCCCCAGGCCCCACTTGTTCCTCTGCTCAAGAGCAAGTCTGACCTAGAAAACCCACCTATTCGGCTTCACAGACAAAGTATTAAAACTACCCTGTCTGCCATTCAGGACCCAGATCTTCCGAACACTAGTTCCTCTGGATCACAGGCTAGTACATTTTGTCCTCTTTCAAGTCCTCCACGAGTGTTGCCTGGTCACCCCGGAGTCACGATTTTACTGTTAACAATGCCTGCTCGGGTTTAATCCAAATAAAATGTGCACAAACATGCCTGAGATCATCGGATGCCACAGGCAAGTTCTCTCAGCAATACAATTCTCTTGGTCTCATAAACAGAAAAACTCCAGTCAACATCGTGAGTGTCAAGAGGGTCTAATAAATTCAGGACAGAGAGGTCCACTCAGAAGGCTAGGGCTGCAGTCTTGGGGCCAAAAAGGTGTAATCTCTATCAAGATTTTCTCCCAGGGCCCGGGAAGATCACAAGGTTTTATTAAGAAGTTTCAAGAACATGGGAAAATATATTGGTGAGAAAACGTCCAGGAAATTATGCTGAGGACATCTTCCCTTCATGACAATGCACTTGCTAATTCTCTGAGGGTAGCAAACGCTGTCCTACGAGAATACTGTTGGGACTTAGTGTATTATTGTAATGGCTATCCTATCCATACTACATCCCTAATCGTGTCCCCTCAGACTTCTTTTGGTTTCCAATTCAAAGATCTTTTTTTTTAGAGGATGCAAAATTCAATATTTATTGTGCAAATTATGTTTCTGTTTTGCAACAATGAATGTGCTTCTAAATTCATCATCCAGGAAAGCAACAAAGGGTGATTATCAGAACATTCCACTTATATTTTATCAGAATATTTATATATCTCCATGTAAGG